GTAGTAGTAGTAGTAGTAGTAGTAGTAGTAGTAGTACCACCACCACCACCACCACCACCACCAGACTATACATCGACAGTCAGTATGATGATGATAAATGTAGTGATAATAATTATAATGGTGATAATGATGATCTTGATCAGCTAATGTTAATAATGATAAAAAAGAGATAATGATGATTATTATGATGGTTATGATATAAATTATAGTTATTGTGATAATATTGTTGATATAAAGAAAATAAATCTAATTGATAATATTTAAATTGTAGGCACACCGTAGTATACTCAAATGGTTATTGTTTATTATCATGGATATTAATCTGCATCTGTTTTTATACATCTTAATGCTTACACTCATTCTCAAACCTTTTTAAATTTAATACATTCCCACCTCTTGCACAGGGAGTGTGCGGTGTTGATACAGGGACAACAGGTTGGTAAGGCCAAGGAACCCACCAAGAAAGCCGCCAAGGAGAGTGCATCGGCACAAGCACTCGAGGAACTCCGGCGCAGGTGCTATACTCTCAAGGTGAGCTTTCTCTTCTCTCATTCAGTGTAGGTGTTGTGATTAGAGTTTTGTTTTTCAGTGCTAGCAGTATTGGAATGAAAATTAATATTTTCACCTCTCAAGATATATATGATTAAGATTTCAATAGACATTTAGAAGTGGCTTTTTCAGTCTGTTTCATTATTTAATCTTTACATTATTAATGTTGTTATTGTTGTTTAAAGTGTGGAATTCATTTCAAAATTTGGGGGCCATTTTCCTGCCTTTATTTCAGTGTGCATGTGAAATAAATCTGTGTATAGTTGACATTCTGGCTTCTTTCTTCAGCCTCAAGAACATAGAGAGCTATCCCATCCTAACACTGTAATTACCTGGCCTTCAATGCCCATGGATGGCTTTTCCTCCCATCCAATTATCCCCCTCTACACCCCCTCCAGACCATAAATTACCTACTATCCCACAGCTGCCCTATTACTCCAGACCCACCCTCCCTCCATACAGTTGCCTCTAGATGTGGCTGAGCTCCTTGTCACATTATTTTGTTTTTTATAATTTTATCTTGTTAGTTCATAAATATGACAAGTACAGGATTTATTTAAACATGTAAGTAAGGATGAGGAGTATGTTACATATGTAGTAGTTGATGAATATGTATCTTTTCTGTGTTATATGTGTTTTTGTGTTGTCTATAAGTTTCTCCCATTATCTTTCTCATCTTTAGTAAATTTTTGACATACCAGCACAAGACATACAATTTTTGGTGTGTAACATGAGGCTACATGAATAATGAGATCATATCTGTCCATGGTAAAAGTTGGAAATGGAGGTTGATTTGTTGCTGGGGGCAAGGGCAGGTTTAATGACTTGAAGCCTTTAGACTTTCAAAGTTTGATAGTGTTATTTACAGTATTATTGCTATTGAAATTACTGTTATTATCATCATTGATAATGTTATTATTATTATTACCAGTGTTGATACTTCTTGTTACTGATTATTGTAAGTAATAGATGATAATGGACTGTTTTCAATGAAAATCAGTAATTGTAAATATGGTAAATGATTTTGTAATTACAGTCTACACACTACAAAGGAATGATCCTGTTGTTCATAATTTGATATTGAAATTGAACTCGCACCCACTTTAACTCTGAGCTCCTATTTGACATTAACTTGTACTGAAAGCAGCCATAATAAAGCAACTATACATAGGTTTAACCACTCCATCTTGTTAACTTTTGAGCTGGTAACTTTCAGCTAAGCCCCACCCCCATCACCTTTTTTGATTTCAAATATTAGATGTTTTATTTCCATTTTTCTAGGTTTCTTTTGATAATTGTTTTGCCATTTTTTTAATGCACTGAAAAACATATACCATAAAATATGACACAAATTGTTGGTGTCAAGAAAGGGGATGGAGCTAATGATGCCACCACATTTAGCCGATGAGAGTTCGCTGAATATCATAAATAGCTAGATACAAGTTATTTGTATAGTCTCCTCGCTTTTGTTATAATTATCAGAAGGAAAACCAAGAGTCCTCTCTTTACTTATGATGACAAAGAGTTTCTTACCATTAACAACTGTCAGAATACTCCAGGGAAAAAGTCAAATTCATTTTTGTGCTCAATAGGCTAAATGGAATGGAGTTACTTAGTTATACATTCCTTGATCTGGAGGTTCGTCTGATAAAATATCATAGCCCTAAAGTTTTTATAAGGGCTCAGCAAAGGCAATTGTACTCATTTGGTGCTCTACGGATATCTTTGCTGTGTATAGCAATTCATTTGTTGTACAGTAATAAAACTTGGCTTACTAGTGTCAAGATACAGTAGTTTGTGACATTTTCCTCACCGTCTTGCATCTCTTGTAAATTAATTAATTCCTAGTAATAACTATATGTTGCATATAGGTGAATGAAGCATAATGAAAATGCTGAATCTTTTTACAGAAACAAACATATTTTATTGCACCATAAGTAGTTTTTACATG